GACAACATGAGAAGCTGGTGGCAGGTGCCCGTCAGATGGGAGTGCAGGCTGTTTGGGCATCACGTGCCTTGTCGCTGATGGTCAACGCCTCATCAGCAACACCAGGACGTGTCTTGGAGGAGGATCAGGTGCTCATGTTTGGTTGAAAAAATGCAAGCAAGATCAGAGTGCAAAGTAACTTCACATGTTTGAAACACGAAAGGCTGCCTGGTGGGGCACGGCTGACTGTCCTATGTCAAGTGTTGGGCATGCTACAACAGGGCAACCATCCCAGTGGTACCTAAGGGATGTCAGATTAGAATTGTGTGGAAACCCCACTGTGTAACATGTATAAGAACGGTACATGTAAACCAAAAAAAAAAAAGAACAAAGTTTGTCTTACTGCCAATTAAAGGAGGAAGAGACGTGCTTCGTTGGCAGTTACCCAAGTTGGAGTCTGGATGCCATCAGTTGTCATGACTCAAGAAGAAACAGCCAAAATACTGCTAAAGGAAATAAACTGGCAGCTGAAGATGTGGGGGAGCACAGAAGAAGTGCTCTCCAACATAACTGAAGCTTTGAACTTGTTTTCCTGTGTACCTTGCAATTTTTCCATGCACAGCTGCCAGAGGGTGGTGACCACATCGAATCATGATTGAGTGGAGGAAAGTATGGAACATTTCCAGTTCCTACTGGGTAATTTTGAAACCTGAATTGACAAAATGTAATGATAACATGTGTGAGGGACATTGGGTTCAATACCATGTTAATAAGGCAACCACAGTTATGCAAATATCACATTTTGCCTTTAATAACTGTACAAGGACACTGGTTTTTAAAAATACAGGGTGAGTGGTTTGAGCCACAGACAAATCACACATATGACATGCAATTATGCGAGACAGCTGATAAAGGAGTGATATGTATGCTGAAATTAGGTCATGTTAACCCATGTTTAACCAGAGACAAGGTATTGTGTGATTGGACTCATGAACTAGGCTAGAGCAACAATAAAAAGTCATCCTCAATTACCTGAGGCGCCTTTCTCTGGTTGTGTGTATGGTGTACATCTGTGGACTTGGAACAACCAGACTTATCAATTAACTAATTATAGTTCCACCACTCGACTAACAGAGGTACCATGGCAAACTTTGCACGTACCCTGGCGAGTCTCCCTAGACCGTTTCAAATGCGCATTGAATGGGTCTACAGAGTTGAAACGAATGATTGAATCTCATAAGTCTAAACGTGTCTGATCAAACAGGGTCCACCTGCATGGCTCAAAGAAAGGTTTTTACATGTGGCTAAACTAATAGTGTAGGCGTCGGCTCACCATTGGTGGGATATATTCGCAGGAATATCATCCACGGCGCAAAATATATGCAGTATCTCTTTTGCTTGTTTAGTGAAAAGAAGAATAACTAGTTTGATCTATGTATCTCTGTATTAACTTTGTGTATTTTGGGAACTTGTTTTTATATTAGGAGGGTTAAAAAAATAATTAATCAGGAAATTTATAATACAGCTTGGTACATGGTTTGGTAGAGGAAAAACTATAATCACACTCGAACCTGAATACCTACCAGATGTTTTGATTTACAACTATCGTGTCAGTGGGAATGTAATAAATTAAACGTTCCAGGGGTTTGAAACTCGTCTGGATTTTCTTAACTTTGTGAGTGAGTTTATTCAGGATGAAGTTATGAGGTTATTCCCAGAACAAATTCAATTTCAGGGGAGTGATTTTCAAAATTAAAGAGTTGTATTATGTTTTACATGCCATAAAGGCAAAGGGTGGAATGATATAAAAATATATTTTACAAGGTGTTAAGTCGCCTTTATGCCTATTCAAACATATATTTTGTGTGTGTGTTACTTATAATATTTAGACACTCTTTTGATGGTTTGCAGAGGGACGGAGGGGGGACAGTGTATTCTCTTTAGGAATGCTTTAATAAGCTTAGGAGTGCTTTTGGCAGTAGAGTTTTGGCCCGCCCTGCGGTCACGGCGCTCCGTTACTGGCAATGTCAGGTTATTGCCTTGATTTTGTACAACATGTTTTTATGAGATACCGACTTTCTGTCTGTCCTCCTGACAACCATCAAACTTGTTTTTCACTGCTCTCACGCGATCCGGTCAGGGAGGGGTATATAAGAAATGTAACGAACACAGAGAGTCAGAAGCCTGCTGCGGACCACGCGCGAGGTGCCCAGCGTTGGTGTGATTCCTGTCACTCGGGTCGAAGGCTTCCCGACCACGTGTCACGGTGAGGGACTCTCATATCAATTTGTGTGTTAAGAGTGTACGAGTGTACATGTTTTGCTTGGCTGTTTTTCTGTGGCAGATTAATAAATGACACTATTATTTCTAGCAGAAACAGTCTCTGTGTTTCATTTCCTCTCGTGTGAATTATTGGGGGCCGACCGTTCACGAACCTTTGTTAAAGAAATTTCATAAAACAGGCCCACACAGCAGGTGGGCGTGGACTAAATTTTTCAGTGCAATGCTTCGCATATCGGGATAAAACCCATCAGCGACAGCCTTAAAGGGCTACGCCTATATTCATAGAATCTGGCGTTACAGTACGCAACAAAACGTTTTGCATTGTGGCCAAACAGTTCGATTTTGGTTTCATCTGACCAGAGCACTTTCTTCCATGTGTTTGGTGTGCCTCCCAGATGGCTTGTGGCAAACTTTAAACAACACTTTTTATGGATATCTTTGAGAAATGGCTATCTTCTTGCCACTCTTCCATAAAGGCCAGATTTGTGCAGTGTACGACTGATTGTTGTCCTATGGACAGACCCTCCCACCTCAGCTGTAGATCTCTGCAGTCCATCCAGAGTGATCATGGGCCTCTTGGCTGCATCTCTGATCAGTCTTCTCCTTGTTCGAGATGAAAGTTTAGATGGACGGCCGGGTCTTGGTAGATTTGCAGTGGTCTGATACTCCTTCCATTTCAATATGATTGCTTGCACAGTGCTCCTTGGGATGTTTAAAGCTTGGGAAATCTTTTTGTATCCAAATCCGGCTTTAAACTTCTCCACAACAGTATCTCGGACCTGCCTGGTGTGTTCCTTGGTCTTCATGATGCTCTCTGCGCTTTGAACAGAACCCTGAGACTATCACAGAGCAGGTGCATTTATACGGAGACTTGATTACACACAGGTGGATTCTATTTATCATCATCAGTCATTTGGGACAACAATGGATCATTCATAGATCCTCACTGAACTTCTGGAGTGAGTTTGCTGCACTGAAAGTAAAGGGGCCGAATAATATTGCACGCCCCACTTTTCAGTTTTTTATTTGTTAAAAAAGTTTGACACATCCGATAAATTTCTTTCCACTTCACGATTGTGTCCCACTTGTTGTTGACTCTTCACAAAAAATTAAAATTTTATATCTTTATGTTTGAAGCCTGAAATGTGGCAAAAGGTTGAAAAGTTCAAGGGGGCCGAATACTTTCGCAAGGCACTGTATATATTTATATATATTTATATATTGTGTATGTGGTTCTGGGTTTGGGTTCCGGTCATTGCATTTATGATTCAATAAAACAAAATAAACAAATAAAAAAGGTAACAGATCATTTTAATACTTGGTTTATTTACATAATGACTAATTGCTGGATGTCCGGCCCCTGAGCTGCTGGCTTTCAGTAACTGTCTCCCTGAGCAGTTTAGTTGAATATCCTGCTTTAGAGGGTGAATACAGTTTATTCCATTTCCAAAACCTAAACTGAGTCTGGAAAAATGTAAAAGATGATAAAGCCCTGTGGCTGACCTCAAGAGCAGCTGAAAACAACAGTGATAAACAGGAAGTACCACATGTTCACCTGCACGAAGGTAACTAGTATCTTAAATCCTCCAATTTCTGTCATAATTACATTGCATACTTAATGGTTAAATTACAGGTTAATGCTTAAGCTAGTTGGGCTTTGTTTTGTGTGCTTTATATGTAGATATAGCTATGTTGCAACTTATTGTTGCACAAGTGTATTCTTTATTTGTTATGATCAGTTAACACTTGACTGATTTAGTGCGCTACATCTGTAGCATCTTAGCTAGCACGTCTGTATTGCACGCCACTAGCTTAACGCTACTGTGCTGAGCTCTCTAAAATAGTAAAATAGTTATTGAATCAAGTGTTTACTTATGTAGGTAAACGTAGATTAAAATACACCGTAATGCAGGATATGGCATCTACTTTATTCAAATTTTTCTGGGGGAGGGCCCCCATACCTCCCCCCCCGCCCCCCCCCCCCCCCCCCCCCCGGATTATGAATGCTTTTGACGCCAGTGGCCACCACATTGTTCAGGCCGAGAGCCATCGTCAGCACTCGGGGCTAAACACCCCTAAAGGTCAGATCTTAGAATCGTCCCTGGTAATCGGTAACTCTAAATTGTCCCTAGGTGTGAGTGAGAGAGTGAATGGTCGTTTGTCTTGTTTGTCTCTATGTGTCCCTGTGATGGACTGGAGACATGTCCAGGGTGTCCCCCACCTAACACACAGTTATGGCTGGACATGTGCACCAGTGACCCGAAAAGGAAGAAGTGGGTAAAGATGATGGATGGATAGCTATTTCTAACTTTTAGATGTCATTTTACTTCATTGTGCTTTTAGCTAGAGCCTTTTGTCACTTTTAGCTTTGAGCAACTTTATGCTGCCCATGTAGCTAATTTTAGCTTTTACACAGACTTTTGCTATATTTAACTTTTAGTAAACTTTTTATTTCTATTATCTTCTATTATTAAGTCTTTTACTCATTTTAGCTACTGATGCTTGTTTGTATTGTACCAGTACTATACTGCACTTTGTTCCATTAAGGGATTTTAAAAGCCTTTATAAATGAATTGAATAGGGAAAAAAAGAATTGTTTTAGCTTTCAGCTAGTGTCTGGTTCTTTTAGCTAGTCAATTTCATCTTTCTCAGCAGATGTCAGTAGTTTCTGTGGTTCTGTCCTGAAGTCTCGTGTAAATAATGAACCTCATGCAACTCCTTCAGCTCTCAGGTCTTACTGTAGATTTTGGATCGCCTGCTTCCCAGACCGCACTTCTTGGTCTTCCCTCCCTGGAACAAACCGTAGTAGATGTCCCCCACGAACTGGTCCAGCTCGGGATGCGATGCGTTCACGATGTCCACCCCCGTTTGACACAGGATCCGCCCGGTGACCCAGCGCTCCGTGGACAGGGCCACCACCAGGAGGGCCGCCGAGCCGAAGCACAGCACCGAGGCCGCAGAAAACGTCACCCGTTTCCACAGGGAAGGCATCTCTCACGAGCCCATCGTGCCCCGAGGAAGGTAACGCAACGCCGGGGGAGCGAGCTCAGGTCACCCCCGGCGGTCACCATCAGTTTATCCTACTGTTTGATAGACGGAAGAAAACCTAACCAGAACCAGAACCGGACTAAAAAGGCTAAAACGCGCTGTTCTCTGAGGTGTTGCATGTATTCATGTGTAAGTCACACGAGAAACTGAATCTGTGGGAGTCAAGGTGATCTGAGAAACTGGATCCGTGTCCACACACACACACACACACACTCATTGACCTTTTCATCTCGACATTTGGATGCAGAAGTGTAATCTATGATGACTTCTGCCATAAAAACAAAGAAGCGGGTTTAATGTTCTGAATGACAGATGCAGTTAATTATAAGAAGGTCAACATGAAGCTTTGTGAGCTTCATCTACAGGTTTTATGTCTCACAATCTCTTCTCAGACCACACCTTTATATATTAGAGTCTGTTTAATTTGCAAAAAGTACATTTTTATGTGAGCTATTTGGTATAGTTTTTTTAAATCACCCTTCTCCAAAAGGCCAAGACAGGCTGTAATGTTTTTGCTTGTGCCTGTGTGCACGTGTGTGTAATTTTGTGTCTGACTGGTAGCAAAATACCTCATGAACTACTGGATGAATTTTAATGAAACGTAATAGGTGTATGTACATTTGCAACTGTTTAACCTTTGGAGTCAACTCGACTGAAGAAGGTTATCACAGCTAAACTAAAAAACACATAAATGGGTATAACTCTCTCATGTTTACAGTGATTTAAGTCAAATTTGGTGATGTAGTAGATGAGACTGATCCCTGACACATATTCCGAACACTTAGAGATTGCACAAGATTTTTGTTTGAAATTGTGCCATTAACTATTTGGACTCAGCTGTGTTTGTCTGTTAGCTAAATATCTTGTGAACTGCTGGGCAGATTTTAATTAAATTTTCAGAAAGTAATCATTTCATGCACCACAAGAAGTTGACCTTAGCCAACACATAAGCAGCTTTAACTCAGTCCATATTGAATCAGTCTTGCAGGCACAACATGGGACTAAAATTTGGTGTGGTAGTGGCTGAGCTTCATCCTCAACACTTATTCTAAGGGTGACTTCTCGCAAGACTGAGCATAATGAACATATCATACTAAAATGGCTACAACTGTTATTTATCGACATGATCTAAACTCTGGCATCAACTCACAGCGAGCGATGTGCATTCCTTCGAGGAATTCTAGGCTTTGATTTTTTTATTTATTAGTGTTTAATAGTAATACTATTCAAGTATGAAGCATGATAGTTTTATTGTTGCTATACTTAAATTTTATCATCTTTCAACATTCATTTTGATATGTTCTAAATGTTCTCTAGCCTAATTATTGGACATTTTTAAAAGGCATTGAACAAATAATTAAATATTTACCAAAAGCAAGCTATTAAATGTAAAGGACATAACCTCAGTCCGGATATTAGTTTTAAAACACATATTTCACATGCATGGCTAAATAAAATGTAAGTTTAACTCCTAAGTTTACAAAGTTGTCTGTTTATTTTATACAAGGATTCAAACTAATGAAAAAATGTAAAATTTTGCTCGAAATGGAAAAATAACAATAATAAAAAATGTGATTTTTTTTTGCACTTTAACATATGTTTTACCTATTTAATTTCAAATGTATTCTAATACAGTGATTTTGTATAAAAACAATTGCATCTGTAATATATTTGTGTCCTTTAAATTTAATTTTCTAGTGTAGTTATAACCAGTAGTCTATCAATTGTAAATAGTGAGACAGAAAACAGAATTTGTCTATAGCTTGTCATGAGCCTGGTTCTGCTAAAGGTTTCTTCCTCATGAGGGAGTTTTTCCTTTCCACTGTCGCCTTCATGCTTGCTCAAGATGAGAGTTCTACGATGGAGTTAAATTCAAAGCAGTCTGCTCCTCAGATAAATAATGTTAACTTATTTTATATATATATGAATGTTTCTGTTCAGTGCCCTTAGATAACTTCTGTTGTGACTTAGCGATATATAAATAAACTGAACTGAACTGAATTTATTTAGAGTCGAAAATCAATGTAGAAAATTGACTTAAGTGATCCGGAGCTTTTGGCGCCACCTCTTGGTGACTCTGAAATTGAAGCGCGCGATGACGTCACGTGGAGCGACGCAGCCAGTCTCCCAGGCAGCAGCTAAGATCATTTGGCAAAGATGGCGGATATGCCTTCGATAGGTTTGGCTGAGGAGAAAGAAAAGGAGAACGAGGACAGGGAGAAGGACGGAAAGACTGTCAGAACGGACAGGAATAAAGACAAAGATGGAGTTACTGAAACGCGGGGGTTTAACGACAAAAATAGTGACGGTAGAGGCAAAAAACGCAACCTGTCAGGTGAGACAGATTTTTAGTTTCACACAGCACTAGCTGCTCACTGAAGTCATTTATTTTAAAACGGTAAACCATGTTGTTGTAGCACGCAGCTGATATTAGCTGAACCTGTGCATCTCAGTTTGCGCTGTTACTGGTGACACTACACTAATCTCGACCAAAACAACGCCGGGAGGCCTAGCAATGTCAGCTGCATCCTGATCATAATAAACATGGATTACCTGCTGCCAGTAGGTAACACAGCTGACTGAAATTATGCAGGAGACCTAATAAGTTGCATGGGTGTGTGCGCGTGTGTGTGTATTTATTTATTTATTTATTTATTTATTGTAAAGGCGTGTTTCTTTTGCGCAGGCGCACTGAGATGTACAGTTGGCTACAAATGTTAATACACAAACTGTAGGCTCGTGAGAAGATTGACAGAGATTTTCAGCTCATCCAACCTTTATTCATACATTTTTATTTTTTTAAATAATATTTATTAATATTATTATTAATATAATATTCATATTGGGGAAATTCAACAATGTACTTGTGACCATGTTTTTCAAGTGTCCCAAAACTGAATGTTCCAACTACTCTGTTCACATTCCTGTTTCATCTATAATGAATTTCCATCATTGCATTTTGAAATAGGTAAACTTCTTCTTCTTTCATCTTTTCCCTCTTCAGGGGTCGCCACAGCAAGTCAACCTCCTCCGTCTCACTCTGTCCTCTGTCCTCACTCCAACTAGCTGTTTTATGATTTGGTAGTTCATTACTTTTATGGTATCTGTTGATTTGACAGTTTTTATGCTTGTATGTGTTGGTGTACAGCACTTTGGCCAACGGTGTTGTTTTAAAGTACTTTATAAATAAAGTTGTATTGTACCGTACCTCCACGCCCTCTCTAACCATCCATACTGTATGTCTCCCGTTTGGCCTTCCTCTTTGTCTTTTTCCTGGCAGCTGCATTTCTAACATCCTTCTACCATTATACCCACTGTCCCCCCTCTGGACATGTCCAAACCATCTCAGTCTGGTCTCTAACTTGATCTCCCAGTTGTTCAACCTGTGCTGTACCTCTGATGATCTCATTCCTAATCTTATCCATCCTTGTCTCTCCTAAGGAGAACGTCAACATATTCTTCTTCTTCATGTTTCTGCTACTTCCAGTTCCTTCTTTTCTCTTTTTTTTTTTTTTTTTTTGCCTCCTCTCTAGCTCTCTTAACGAGGCGCACACATTT